ATTTAGTACAAATCAGCTCCTTATCTTTTGAAAAGGAGAGTCTGTTTTGAATCACAAGGCAACTGACCTTGAAGGTAGGTTTAATATATGCAGATTTCGTATATTACCTCTAAGCTTTTAACTCGGAGTATTTTCTTGGTTACATTTAGCTCTCAGCTGCGCAGTCCTCGTTTTGTCTACTTTAACAGTTACTGATTTAATTATGACGCAGTTTTTACTTTTCTTTAGTTTGAGATTTTACATTTATTTGTATAACTGGTTTTAAATAGTAATCTAATGTGTTAATGAGCAAATAAAATGAATATGAAGAGTTATAGTAAATCATAAATATAAGAAAGAATAGAACCATCTTTCTAAATTAATTCAGCTATTTCACAAGGTGCTCGTGTATCTCCGTTCACTTTATTTAAATTTTATTATCAAATGACATTTTCTGCTGGTATATAATAAGGATTTAAAATTGTTTCCTTGGATAAGTTTTATGAATTGAAAAAATATGAATTAAGAAATGAACTATGGAATAACTAATTCTTTAAGGGGGAGTTATAAAACTATGTAAGCAAAACCATAGAAGTTCAGTTTAAATTTAAATTTTCAAAAATTGTAGGACAGAAGTATGTTCAGAAATAGTATTAAAAATAGAAATATTTTAATATTGGGATTGACTTTGGTTTAAATGCCATAATGAGTTAATGTGATTCTGCTGGCAATTCCATAGATCCAGACTGAAGAACAAGGAAAAAAAGATAAAAAACTTATTTTTGTTTGTATAAAATTATATTAATCTGGACTTTAAGAAGAGATTTATGAAACTCTTTGAAAATAGAATCCATCATTTCAGGCAATTTCAGCCTTCTTTATGTCAGTGATAGTGACTTATTTTGAAGAATAAAATGTCTCTCTTTGTAATTTTTTTAAATTACTTTTTTTCTCATCAAAATTAGGAATAAAAAAGGACAAGATTTCTATTTCAAAAGAGGAATGATGGCTAGGTTAGGGCAAGGAAATGCAATGTTTTTGGTTTTTTTTTTAATTGAGTTTTTTTTGAGAAATGAAAGGTGGCTTTGCTTTGAATTTATAAACCATTTTGTTAGGTAGAGTTCTCCACTTAATGGTTTCTTATTTATACTGAAAAATACACTAGGTTGATTTGGCTTGTTACTCTCCTTCATTTAGCTTTTAATGATCATGTTTGTACAATCTTCATACTTGAAAAATGGAATATGAAAACAATAAAAACTACAGATATGCTTTTGGAAATACTACACAATACTTTTGATAATGAAAAATAATCTCAAAGGAATAAGTTTAGAGGACAAATTTATTAACTATGCTTTAAAATAAGATGTTTTTACATTGGTATTAGCATCCAAATTATTTTCATGAAAATTCTTTTATGAAAATAACCTTGATTTTTATTAGCCTGTTTTCTATTTTAAATCACGCTATGAAGGAATGATTAAATCAAATATATAGTATAGCACAATTTAACAAGCTTAATAGTCTTACAGATAAGATAGAAATGTTTCTGCTATTACCTTGAATAATCGATAATGAATTGAGTTGTTGTCTTCCTTAAACACTATGCTGTTTTCTTGTTATGTTGCTCTAAAGAAATTTAAATATCATATTTCACATTCTACTTTAGAGAACCATTGTTCTGAGAGAAACATTTTTCAAGATTATTAGCTGCACTTTAAAATTTTACCTTTTATCTACAAATAATGTTGTCATTCTCCCTGGAATATTTGATCTGACTAAGGCCTACAAAACAGGAGATTACACTAAATAACAGTAATATTTTGTTCAGCTTAGAGAACAGATACTGACAAGTGATGTCTGTTAAGAGATTTTTAGCAGATCATAGTTTATCTCATATATTTATGTTTTTGGAGAAACATTATTTTATATATTTTACTTTAGAAAATGTGTGCTACTTATTATAAATTACTGTTTTAAGTATTAGCATGTATTTTTGATGTTTTTCCCAATTTAACCTTTAGAAGTAAACGTAAAATTATTCATAAATTTATGCTGAATGTAGGGGTTAGTAACGTATATCCCATTTATTTAAGGATAATTGTTTCTGTATCGCCTGGGCATAAAATTAATATAGTGTTTCTTTTTACTACTTAAACTCTTACGCTAATGTAGCTTTAATGAGTTTATCCATAGGAAGTACTTGAAGCTATAATGAAAGGCTGCTTGGCTGATATCCATCTGTCCCCTTCCTGAAAATACCTGAATTTTAATTCAGAAGTATATAAGCAAACACTATAACTGTTTCATGTATCCAAGGTTTATGCAATTTAATTTTATAATTTTATTTTGTTCGACTGTGCCATAAACATATTTCCTGAATTATGAAAACTGCGCAATCACTATTGAATGGAAAACACAAGGAATACTAAAGACTTGCTACTTGCTTTGATTATGATGCATAACTAAAAATCCAGAATAAACGGTAACTCAAATTTTTCAATGTGCCATGTTTTCTTCTTTTTTTTTTTTCCTCTCTTTCTTTTCTGTGTCTTTCTTGCTCTTCATTTTCTTCTTCTATTGCAACAAATTAAAATATTCCTAATATAACCAAATTGGTTTCAGAAGTAGAGAGGATGGATTGGCCATAAAGAAGAATATAAGTTAATTTATAGATATAAGTTATCACAAGTTAAAATCAACATAAGAGAAACTCTAATCTCTATTTAGCCAACCCCTAGGATTAACTCAGGTTCTGTTTCCTTTGTGGATCATACTAATTTGTTTCCAGGGTAGTCACATCTCACCAACTTTATATACCTATCAGAAGTCACTCGGATTTGTTATCTAGCATGTTATTGCCATTTGTTCTTGTTATTTCATTTCACAATTTAGTTAAATATTCTGCCATCTAATGCAACATAAGTGTTAAAAAGAGTTTTATTTTTTTCTCTCCTATAAAAACCAAGGGAAATACATTAAAAGTGAATAAATGCAAGTCAACTAAAATATAAAAAATATTTTGAAAAATTATAAAATTCTAGAATGTTTCTGCATTCAGATTGCTTTATAGGTAGCTTTGATTTTTTTTCTCCATTAAAAAAAATACTAGAAATCAAAGCCAATGAATGAGGTTTATGCAAAAAAAGTTACTAAACTATCCCAATCTGCTGAGTTCTTGCTCAAAGAAAAGGTCTTGGTTTTACAACAAAGCAATAGTATTTATATCTACTTAAGTCAAATAAGCTATTGGGTAAACATATACCATTTTTATGATTCCGTGTTTTAATTATTTTATTTGCTTACTCAGTTCAGTCAATTACAAGTCCTGGAATTTAAGAACAAAGGGTTTCCACTGTACTTTGTAATCTCTTTGCAAAAAAAAAAAAAAGCTACAGAATCCTTGCTTTGCCAGTCTAGGGATGACTGAATCCTGTGGGTGTTTCCACATCTGAATATCGTCAGGAAGACTAACTGCCCACTTGAGGAGACATGCCTGGTATTTGAATCTACCATATCTTCTGGAATTCTCAGGTTCTTTTTCTATAAAATGAACAAAATAATTCACAATAACATGGACAGGAAACAGGTTTCATCTTGAAAGCCAGCTCTGATTAATTGCTAATGGCAACTTGAAGATCTGTGCTGAGATGAATCTGTGGCCCCTTTCACCTTAGAGCAAAATGCCCTGATCTGATAGTAATGTCAGCCAAGGAACAAAGTGGGCTAGAGCAGTAAAACCATGACAGCATTGTTCTCCTGCACTATATCCACGTTTCTTTTAGTGTTTTGCAGACCGATAAATGAACAGTTCCCTGTCTTTTTCTTTTCTGTTTTTCCTTCTGTTGGGATACTCTCATCGTTGACATCCCTTAGCATTGGTTAGTTACTACGTAGATGAGAAAGACAGTGGGCTATGCACACAATTCACCCCTTTGTTTCCCATAGAAAACACATCTTTTTTGCCTCAGTTCAAATGAGAATGACTTCATGCAAATGAAAACCACAGAATTTACTTGCTGTCTACTTCTCCAAAACTGAATGACTTTGTTAGCCTTTATTAAAGAAAATCAGTCAAAAACAGAAAATATATCCCAAAATATTATCCTCACAATTAAGAGTCTGCAGAATATGAGGGCAAGAGGACTAGTCCAATGATCACTGTTTGATTTAGGAAATCTGGCTGCCAAAATGACTCTGCTATTTTCTTTATAGTTTGTCACATATTAAAGTATTTTAAGAGGTCTGCTTTCCTAGGTGAAAAATACAATAAATTTTAAGAGTATTCACAAGTTTTATGTTATTAAAAAATTGATTAAGAAATATTGTTTTGCTGTTATCATTAACAAATGTGGAAAATGAAGTTCTGAATTTTTAATGTAAGTGGGGCTAGAATTTTCTTGGAAGACAAAATCAATTAACATAGTCTCAGAAGTAAAATATACCCATTGAATACTAATCAATCTAAATAGCATCTAATGTCATCTAAATATTCCCAAACTCTAAATGTTTATCGTCACATATATTAATACATATAAAAGATATACCGTGCTCTATAGATAAAGGTTGATGATCCTAGGGTGTTTAGGTCCACACTTATTAGGGATAATTTTATCTCAATTTAATGCTTAGAATATAATAGGCATCAGCAGTCAAAATCAATGAAACTTTTATTCATATAATTATTATTAATTAAATGCCTATGATATGCTAGCAACTCTACCAGTTCTGCCCTTGAGAAGTTCACAAACATGGAAGGAACAAAGACCCATAAATTGATAGTTGAAAAGAATATGTCACAGGCCATATTAGGGTAATACCCAGGGTGCTACTAGAATATATCATAAATCCCCACGTTTCAAATTATAACTTTATTTTATTCCAAAATAAACAAAGGTAGCTTTATTGTATATAGAAGAAAACTTGAAATTATTAAGTTTTTATGTTACTTAACACTTAAGTGTTCAGTGTTAATTTATAGCCTTGACTTATCGAATTTATCATGGTAAACTGACTCCTATTTTTCAGAATATCTGCTATGTGACTTCAGCCCCTTAAATGGGACACCTGACATTATAATTATAGTGTCAAACCTGAGAGATTCTCTGTTCTAGCTTTTATCCTTCTCCTAATGACATCACTTATTGTCTACTGGAAAATCAATTTAGGAAATCATTTTAGTCCACTAAGCACTTCAGATAAGGTGATTCCATGAAGCATTCCAAGATTATCACAAGGAATTGCTTTCGTATGTCATAAAAGAAGAAGAAATAAGCAGAATATGGCCTGCTGAGGAAGGTTACAGTTTTACAGCCCCTCCCACTGCAGCACTTAAGTCACTCGGTTACAGTTAACTTTGGATTGTCACAGATTGAAAGCAAAACAGTCGTCACACACTCTGGGCTTGTGGTGTGACTTGTATGTGTGTTTCTAAATCAATGATGAGGGTATCGGAACCAGTACTGGATATGGACATGGCAAATTACAGTGAAGTTTTGGACCCAACTTATACGACTTTGGAGTTTGAAACCATGCAGATTCTGTATAATTCAAATGGTGAGTTCTCATCTGCTTACAGATGTAGAGAAAATTAAGTATAATGGGAGAAGTAAAACTGAGCTTCCCAAGGTGGTGGCTCATAGTTTTATTGCTAAAGAATTCAGGGCTTGCTTTCTAAGGCCACAAATCTGAGCTTTCGTGCTTCATCATAAAATTTAAATTAACAGTGCTATGGATATTTTATGTCAGCGATAGAAAAAGCCTAGTTTTGTGTTATAAAGTAACCTCAGAATTCTGTCATGGGCCAGGTAGGAAAGTAAAAAGAGTAGTTTCAGCAGTCATTTTATTTGCTGTAAATCATAGTAATAAGTAATATTGGCAGATTGGCTGTGAAAGTATATTTCCTATGCAAGATTTAAAATGACTTACGGAACAAAGTTTCCATAGAACACTAGGGAGTTTTCCTGATTGCCTACTCCTTTCATTAGTCCAGTTTGCAATTGCTGCTGCTGAAAAACTGACATTTAAAACTACTATCGAGTTTTTGCATTGAACACAAATATGAAAGGAAATAAGGTTTATATTATAACCTCACTTGGCAGGCTAATGTTTAGCCTCACAACGTTCTTGGTATTTATCTACTGTAACATTTTAACTTTAAATAAGACATGAGTTGTTGAGGTTTTGTATTTTTATGTAATACAGTTTACTATTGACTTTGAATTTAGATTGTTTTTTCCAAGTAAAAATCTTGCCCCAAATATGTTATAATTGTTAGAACTTCTAACATATAGCAATTATATATGCTTTGGAAAATGTGTGTGTGTGTGTGTATTTAGTTGAGAATTGAGAATATGTCTTATACTGAGGACATCTTTGTATTCTACTGTACTGTATAGTTTGTATGACTGATGTTCTGGTTATATTTCCAATAAACAATAGCTTATTAGTGAGGAGATTTTGAAAATTGCTAAAAGATGAATTCTGAAATTTTAGCAGAGTTAAAATGAACCTACAGTGCAATAGGAAATCACTATGTTGACTTCTTCTGCTTAGTTTGACTAGAGATATTTAATATTTATCTCATTGTAATCATGACTTTAAAAAGAAAGACTCACGATTAATAAATGGTAGGGGCAGATTTACCATAAATACTTATCATAAGTATTTACCAAAATATACTAAAACAACTCTTTGGTATGACTATTTCCAAATTGTTGTTTAACTTGTTTGATTGTAATAGTGCTGTCAATTATTATGTAAGTATGGCATTTAACTTGAAGCAGCAGTTGAATTTTTCATATTTCCATCTAATTTCCCAGAAAACAATCAATTCCCAACAGCGCTAATGTCCATATTGCTACTATCTATTTTGTTAATGTTACCCAAACAAAAATTTTAGCATTTAAATTCTATAATGTCACATGACTAACCTTACACATTATCTCATTAAACTTTTATTCCAAATTTATGAAATTATATATAACAATATGTCTACTCAGAAGTGTTAGTAAATAGAATATAAGTAACATTACATAATGTATTCAGGACATGACAACCTTTAATTTTCTCCTTTTGTTCTATTAGAGATATGATAATGAGTTATTATTATATTTGTATCATTGTGCAACTTTATGGTAATTGAATTTTTAATATATTGCATATTCAGTATCTTTTGAGAACACGCAAATTTTAAGGTGTAATCAACAGTATTAACTCATTTAAGAAATATTTATTTATGGCCAGCGCAGTGGCTCACGCCTGTAATCCTAGCACTCTGGGAGGCCTAGGCGGGCAGATGGATCACGAAACCAGCCTGAGCAAGAGAGACCCTGTCTCTACTCAAAATAGAAAGAAACTAATTGGACAACTAAAATTATATAGAAAAAATTAGCTGGGCATGGGGGCTGTGCCTGTTGTCCCAGCTACTTGGGAGGCTGAGGCAGGAGGATCACTTGAGCCAAGGAGTTTGAGGTTGCTGTGAGCTAGGCTGATGCCACGGCACTCTAGCTTGGGCAACGAAGTGAGACTCTGTCTCAAAAAAAAAAAAAAAAAAAAAGAAAGAAAGAAAGAAATATTTATTTATTTAGTTTAAATATCTAGTTTTTTTTAAATGACACTTCATTCATAGCTATCCATGAGTTGCCCACCATATGCTGGACAAAATTCTAAGACCTGGAAAACAGAGGGAGTAAATAAAGCAGATAAATTCTCTGACATCATGAAGTTTATTTCCTATGTGTAAAGATAGGTAATAAATGAGCAAACCAATAATAATATAACTTTAGGTAATGAAGTTATTAAAATAAGTAGGGCTCTAGGTTCTATTTGAGGGACAGATGACAGGTGACTCTTTTAGATGTGTGTTCTGAGATAGTTTCAGACAAAATTTCACATTTGAATGGAAACCTGATAGCCAGCTCAAAGAAAAATTTGTAGAAGAACCTTCTTTCAGGCAGAAGGAGCAGCCAGCGTACAAGTACTGAGACGTAAACAGGCTTCAATGGAGAAAAAAGACAGTATTGCTGGAGAGTCGTGAACTGGTTGAGAAGTGGTTCAGGGATCAGAGAGGCAGAGGAGTGGGGAGTGCTTCACCACGCAGGGGTTTACAGGCCGCAGTAAGGTGTGTAGACTTTATTCTGTATCTAGTGACAAGTCGTGGCAGGGTTGGATGCAAAAGGGTGACATCATGTGAATTTCTTATACCAAGATCACATTGGTAACTTCGAGGTAATAAATAAACAATAGGGGAGCAAAGGTAGAAGTAGAGAAATTAGAGAAAAGGCTATTGCAGTAATTCAGGGGGAAAATTATGGTCAACTGAATAAGGGCGTTCGTGGGGTAAGGGTTAAAAGTTGTGTTTTAAATATGTATTTTAAATGTGCACTCACTCATGGATTGGAAATGAAGGATGAAAGTAAGAATACAAAGAAAGCTTCCAGGTTATTGGCCTTGGGCACTGGATGAGACCATTGACTGATTATAGGGGAGGCTGAAGGAAGAACAAGTACTAGGGAAAAAAATCAAAGAGTTCTGTTTATGATACATGAATTTGCAACTCTTATTAGATTTTCAAAGTGAAATTCTTCAATAGGTACTTGGGCATTTCAGACTGATTCCCATGGGAGACATCAAGGGTAGAGGTAAAATTCTGGGGTTTATCATCACACAGATGATATTTAATGTCATGGGCACTGGATAAACTTTCCTTGGGAAAGAGTATAGTTGGGGGCCTGAGCCTGATGATGTGTTAAAGTTAAATACTCGTAAATATGAAAAGGGGAACTTGGAGTGAAAGCAGCCAGTGGCTAAAAGGAAAGCAACGGTGTGGGGTCTCCAAGAAGTCCTGGAATGGGCTGTTTCGAACCTGTAAATAATGAGTAGGACAATTTAATCAGGAAACACTCAGCACTAACTCCAACTCTACTCTTCCTTTCTCTTCAACAGAGAGTTCTGCCCCAGAGACGACAAGTATGAATACCACCGACAATGGGGTCAACTGTCTATGTGCTATATGTGGAGACAGAGCAACAGGAAAACACTACGGGGCCTCGAGCTGTGATGGGTGCAAGGGCTTCTTCAGACGCAGCATTCGCAAGAGCCATGTTTATTCCTGCAGGTACTTGAAAGGCTCCTTTGTGGAAAGTTATCTTTAGAGGTGTTTCAAAATGGCATGCAAGGAGTAAGGAAAGAACATGAATTTCAGAGACTTTTTATATCCGTAACTCAATGAACAGAATCTCCTAGCTGCAGTACAAGCGAGGATGTGTGGGGTGTATAGTATATATAATGTATTCACATAAGTGGCTCTTTTTTATTTTATTTTATTTTTTTTTAAATTTTTTTAATTTTTAATATTTTTTGAGACAGAGTCTCGCTTTGTTGCCCAAAGAGTGAGTGCTGTGGTGTCAGTGTAGCTCACAGCAACCTCAAACTCCTGGGTTCAAGCGATCCTTCTGCCTCAGCCTCCCAAGTGCTGGGACTACAGCATGTGCCACCATGCTGGCTAATTTTTATATACTAAATTATATATTAATTGTTATATTATTTATTATATATTATATATAATATATATATATTGATTGACCATTAATTTCTTCTATTTATAGTAAGAATGGGGGTCTCGATTTTTTTTGTTTTTTTTTTTTTTTTTTTCTGTAGGCCTGGTTTTGAACTCCTGACTTCGAGCAATCCACCCACCTCGCCTTCCCAGAGTGCTAGGATTACAGCGTGAACCACCGAGCCCGAGCCCGGCCTGGTGGCTCTTTTTTATGAAACATTTGAGACATATAAAAGGTATATAAAAAAATCCACCTACCTACCACCCACCTTAGATCAATATAGTTGAAGCTGCAGTGGACACCTCCCCTGTCATTTTCTCTTTCTCCCTGGCCTCCTAGAGGTAACTACCATCAGGAATTTGATGTTGATGTTTTCCTTGTGTTTCTTTATTGTTTTACCACATGTTAATATACTTCTAAACATTTTAAAATCTGAATTGAAATGGCTTTTCCATATATGTATTTTTCTACATGTTGATTTTTTTTTAGCACCATTATGTCCTGAGTCTTTTAAAACAAAATTATAAAACTACAGATGATTTCGGCAGATTGTTGTTGTCAATGAGTGAAATTCGATTTTCAGTCCTAAAATTAAAAATGTATGTCTCATGCCATATTTTTTGCCATTGAATTTAAATGTTTTGTCTAAAGTTTATTTAGCTATTTTATGTGTCACACATTTTCAGTAGGTGTTTTTTTTTAAGTTAATATCTAGTCAACATCATAGCACAATTTAAGTATAAATAGTGAACCTCAATTGATCGGTATGACAGTTCTTGAATGAAGATTATATCTAACTGGAATATGGGCTATTCACAAAAATTGCTGGGTTTACCAGAAAAAAATCTGTGTTTTCTCTATCAACAAAAAGCTTGTGTAAGATTATGTTTTAAGAACAAGTTGGACATTTGAGAAGTTAACTCTCTCAAAACATTGTCATTTTATTTCTCAGGGTGTAATAAAAGTTAATATATAACTCCCCAAATATCTACCTAGTAATCTCTGGCAATTTTTCCAGGATAGTTTGAAGTAGGTTAAAAGAAATGTAAATCACCCACTTTAAAACTTCTTAGTAAACAAAAAAGGGTTTATAGATGAGTTTTGCTTTCATAGACATCAAAACTCTAGAGGTAAAAAACAGATCAATTTTCTTCATCACTAGTATTTTCTTTGTGATAACATTAAATATTGAGTGCTCCTAAAAAGTAGCAACTAAAATGAATACAAAATAACATGCAAACAGAGCTTTCTAGAGTTAAAAAATGACGATTCAAATAACTAAATGCAATAATTTGTAAGAATCAGAGAATACCTGCTATCAGCATCCCTATGCAGGAAGCGTTGAAAAGTAGCACTCCCTCCCACAGCAGCTTTTAGAAGTTCAAAAAAATGTTCCAGCAACATGTGTACCGTTTACCTCCTTGTACCATCATGAAAGCTCCTGCCAACCTAGCTTTTATAGATACATATTTTGGTATTAAGCAAATGGTATGATTTTCCATTTGGAAAATAGATATTATATTGATGCAAGTTTAGGAGCATCAAGGTTTTTTTAAAATTCAGGTTTTTCTGGTCTCGAATTTATCCATTTGAGACCTTATCTTTACAAATTGCATTTCCACTCTAACTGCTCCATCACACTGAAGTTGTGCTTTCCCAGCCAAAGAACTTTTAATTATTGTTTCAATACTTTTCACATTATACTTTTTATAATGACTATTTTTAAATTTGTATTTGTGCTCCACCAGATTGTAATTTCCTTGAATGGAAGAGACAGGTAGTATTCTACCTGTTTAATCCCTACACCGGCATCTTTTACAAAACTGAAGGTGCTGAATAGTATGTTTATTTGATTTTTGTTATTAATTTAACATTAATTGAATTCTCTCTCTTTGTTATTTTTTCTTGGTAAACTGGTCCCCTCTCCTGGATCTCCTTGGCCATACATTCGCAAATGAGCAATGCCTTTTTCCTCACTCCAAAAGCACATTTCTCTTCTAGCTCAATTTATAGTAGGCTTTACTTCTCATTCAATTTTAAGTGGGCACCCATAGTTTTTAGAAGAAATATTTTTCTAGGTCACAAAATAAATATATTTCTTTATTCTTATAATTAATTATCAACTGAAACTAATCTGGGACATATCAATACATACAAGTAATTTTATGCCAGAATTCTAAAGAAATGTCATTTTTTACTACACGCTTAATATGCCCCAAAATGTTGAAAATACATTCTCACAGCAACCATTTTAGCAAGTTCTTCTCCTTATGAATGTTATTTAACATCCCCAAGTTCTACTGAGAATGAATGGTGGACCTGGGAATCAAGCTCAGGTCTAATTTCAGAGCTTGCACTCTTTGTGTAAGTGTACAATTCAGTTTTTTTTTATTGTGCTCCCAGAGTTGTGCAACCATCATTACAATTAATTTAGAATATTTCTATCACCCTATAAAGAAACCTTAAGCAATTACTTCCTATTTCCCCTCAACTCCCTTTCCAACAATGTGAAGCAACTGGGAACCTACTTTTTCTTTCTATAGATTTGCCTCTTCTGGACATTTCATGTAAATAAAATCATGCAATATGTAGCCTTTTGCGTCTGACTTCCTTCATTTAGAATAGAATAGTATTCTCAAAGTTCATCCATGTTGTTGCATTTGTCGATACTTCATTCCTATTTATCGACAATAATCTTTTGTTATGTGGGTATTCCACATTCTGTTTGTCTTTTCATCCGTTGATAGGCATTTAGGCTGTCTCCACTTTCTGGCTATTATGAATTATGCTGCTGTGGACATTTGGGTACAAGTTTTTGTGCGGACATATGTTTTCATTTCACAGGTGTATAGACCTAGTGTGGAATTGCCAGATCATATGGTAACTCTATGGAGACTGTCTTTCTGAGACTGTCTTTGGGTAGAGCTGATCTAAAGCAGCTTCATCATTTAATTTCTAACCAGCAACGTATGAGGGCTACAATTTTTCTACATCCTCACCAGCACTCATATTGTCTGTGTATTCAATTATAGCCATTCCAATGGGTGTGAAGTGGTACCTCATTGTACAGAGACTGTACTTTCAATAACATTCTCAGCTGGGCATGGTGGCTCACGCCTGTAATCCTAGCACTCTGGGAGGCCGAGGCAGGAGGATAGCTCGAGGTCAGGAGTTTGAAACCAGCCTGAGCAAGAGCGAGACTCTGTCTCTACTATGAAAAGAAAGAAATTAATTGGCCAACATATATATATAGAAAAAATTAGCCGAGCATGGTGGCTTATGCCTGTAGTCCCAGCTACTTGGGAGGCTGAGGCAGAAGGCTGAGGCTTGAGCCCAGGAGTTTGAGGTTACTGTGAGTTAGGCTGACGCCACAGCACTCACTCTAGCCTGAGCAACAAAGTGAGACTCTGTCTCAAAAAAAAACAACAACAGCAACATTCTCAATGGCCTCTTGATATGTAATTTAGCATGTAGAGTAAACTTTAGTTGGATATGAGGTACCCTTAAAATTAATAGAATAACTGAAGAGAGAAACGTATGAAAGTGCATAGGAATGAAGTTCTGATGTATTCTCCACCACACTGAAATCACTTAGCAATAAGCAACAAGAATTTATATGCCAAAGATTTTTAAAGCTAGGTTTGGCTTTCGTGACTCATGATAGAAATGCTTATGCACCCTGGCCAAAAACGAGATAGGCATCCCATATAAAGACTACATGACAGGTGAGACTTGTATTTCCACGTACGTGCTGATCATCAGACTAGAAGGTCATAGTTAATTGTTCTTACTCATTCTTTCCATAATCATATTTCATCATATTTATTTAAGTTCATTTCTCTGGGTTTTTTGATAAATAATAGTTGTCTGCAAACTAATATATTTTTGTTTGATATTATAGGTTCACTCGGCAATGTGTTGTTGACAAGGACAAAAGGAATCAATGTAGATATTGTCGATTAAGAAAGTGTTTTAGAGCAGGAATGAAAAAAGAAGGTAATAGTAATAATAATAAGGACAATTAATATTATTGATGAAAAATGATTAATACACACACACATTCTCATTAACCACAGTAACCTTTTCCCATGAGTTCTAATCTTCCTCAATATATTAATGAAGATTCTACTGTAAAGAATTTAGCCCAAGAACATCCAGTTAGTAAGTGGTGGAACCAATCTTTATCAGGTGACTGTCTGATTATGGAGCATTCTCTCCACCACTGCTATCCCTGGCATTGCTGTCCCTTAGACACTGTTTATATAATATGCAGGACTTTGTCACCTTTCCGAAATGCTGATTTTCCAACTTTAATCTTCTCAGGAGAGACCTATCTGGTGCAACTTTTGCTTTATTAATGTTTGTAAACTGTCTGAAGGATGATGTTTTATAAGCTACCATAATATTATAATCTTAAAATCATCTTAACTAAAATAAATTTACTTTCCATTTTTGCTAGTGTTTTACAGGAAAAAGAAAATGGAAGTTTCAAAATCTATGACTCATATTTTCTGACAGTGAATACACTCTTATCTTTGACCTGGTCAATCTCACAGGCAATACTCTTCCTCTAGCTATCTTACAGTTTTATTAACTTTGAGAGAATAGAAAACCATCCTATTAAAAGTACAACATGGGAGAACTGGCTGACTCAACACTTTCTAACACGCATGCCGTCATGAAGTGCCAAACAGCAATATTTTATAAGGTCTAGCAACAAACTTGACTATTCCTGCTTTTAAGAGTGGGACAGAATGAAAATATCTTCAGTCTTACTTTCCCCGCCAAGGTCTTTTAGAAAGAACCCTTCTCATATATCCTGACATACGTGTGTGTGTGTGTGTGTGTGTGTGTGAGAGAGAGAGAGAGAGAGAGAGAACTGACCAATAAACCCTGTGATTTTCTTCCCTAGCTGTGCAAAATGAACGTGATAGAATAAGCACCAGAAGAAGCACATTTGATGGCAGCAACATCCCCTCCATTAACACGCTGGCACAAGCTGAAGTTCGGTCTCGCCAGGTACCTGCTCCAGCATTCAGCCCTGTTTACAGGAATCAAATGACTATTTAAGCATAATGCTAAAATGATCATAGTTCATTCAAATGTGCTCATTACTAAAACAAATCACACAAATTCAAGAGTTTTACTTTGAAAGTAGTAATGGGACTGCTGAATTAATTTTCACTTTTCCTGGACATGACTGTTTTTGAAATGAAAAAAATGAAATTAATTTCTGCCTAAAGATTGTTACCAAACAGTTTGTTTACAAAACTGATTAAAAATAATGCATAGCATAAGGCTCTGGGGGGGGGGCAGCATTTTATTGTATTGGTTGAATCTGTAAAATCAGCTACCACAACTTTTGGGGAGTTTGGTTGAGACCTGTCATCAGAGTTTCTTTCCTTGAAAATGACTTCTGAACTCAGGAAGTCACCTTGGCACCTGTTTTAGAAACAGATTTTTTTTTAAAATGAAGAGCCAGAATTTAGAAAACACAGGAGGAAAAAAGCCCTATTACTTTAAGCTTCTAGCGTAAGAATATCAGTTCTAAAGTTTAAAAAAAGTTTAGAGTCAAATCCTTTAAAAGAAATCCTTTAAAAACAACTTTGTCTTAGCATTTCCCCTATTAGAAATGTTAATAATATTTTTCTATTATAAAGCAAATTATGAAATAGCCAAATAGTTAATTAGGTCCTGTAATGAGTCAGTGTGACGACTGCTTTCGCTTTTGGTAACACAAGGGTGATATGATGATGTTAATCATCATTATCATCATCATTACTTGAAGATTATTTGATGGTCCAATAAAGCATTTAGAGACTGCCTTAAAGCGAGCTGTGAGGAAGTATCCAGATACCCATAATGATACAGACATGTACATTCAAAAACTAAATGTATAAAAACTTTGATACAGTGTTTTTTTTCAGTGTTTAACACCAATTATAATTTATATAGTTAAAAATTATATACAGTTTTTAAAATTTATCATTATATATTTAAGCCACTTAACATTGCTGAGGGAAGCCTTTGTTTTTTAATATTATTTTGATCACCTTCCATTTAATGCAGCAAGGTAAATAGTTCAGGCTTCTCATCTAAATCTTTTCTCCCCAGTTTGGTAAATTTTGTCCCCTGCAAACATTTTCTCCATAAATTTTAACACATTGAAGATGGACGTTCTTAATGAAAATATCATTTTTAATTAAAAATAAAGTCATAGAACATATTTTTTGTGGATACTACCAATCTCTTTATGTAGCCATTTGGAATTGTGAAACTTCCCAAAAGTTGTGGTAACTTAGTTTACAGCTTTGGCCAATAAAATAAGACACTGTTCCCAGAACGTGATACTATGTATTGGAAGTTTTCGATCTAACTTATTTCTCAATTTAAAAATATTTGGTATATTTTAAGATACTGTGACAATGATAGTGCTTCCTTCAATATTTTCTTACTTCAGTAACAAGAAAAAGAGAAATATTGGCCATGTGTTATTTTAAATGATAAATTAATATAACATTCTTCTTAATGCCAGATCTCAGTCTCAAGCCCTGGAGGAAGCTCTGATATAAATGTTAAGAAAATTGCAAGTATTGGTGATGTCTGTGAATCCATGAAACAGCAGCTCTTAGTCTTGGTGGAATGGGCTAAATATATTCCTGCCTTCTGTGAGTTACCATTGGATGATCAGGTATAAGTTTAAAAAATTATGAATGCTTTAAAAGTGCTTTTTGAACTTTACTGAGTGTTTGTATCCTTTCAATTCTATTTGTAATGCCTGTACTACATTACCGTATTTGACAAACGATCGATTATCTTGTGAGGAAAGGATTGGGTTTCTTATCCATTCATCTTTTTCTTTTAGCAAGAGGTACAACGTTTGACTTCTATTTTAGGGGTCTAGCAAACTTACTGATTGGACAAGAGTCGAATAAAATATTCTTTGGTCCTCTTGGAGTTTAAAAAGCTTGTGTGAGGGAGAAAGGCAGACAGCGCATGACTACCGTTGTTAGATAATATATTGGAAGAATGAATGTCTTTGAGGGAAATGGTGCACTCTTGTGTCTTGCTGATTATTGAAGGTGCCATATATAATATCTCAGAAATACCAGACTGTTCCTAGACAGAAACCCCTCAGGATGTGTTAGTCGTGTCTTTGTGGACACTTTATGCAATTAATATGTAAAGTTTTGCCTTTCATGCTATCAATTTTATTCTAACATTTATTGTAAAAAATTATAGGTCTGGCAAAAAAGTCTGTAGAATCATGATCTGAAATCAATAGAGAGATAGAGAATGTAGATATAGCAGCCCCCTTTTCCTAATACTTTAATCTTCATAATTTGTCATATGTACATTAAGACATTTTAATTCACACTTAGGATCTTGAGTGTCCTAATTAGTTTATAAAGACTAGATTGTTTTACAGACATTTAGAACTATTCTTGCTAAGTAGTGTATAATTTTTTGTAGATGAAAATAATTTGAAAATTTCCATTTCTTTCACATTGAATTAACCATAATAAATGTTGTACCCAGTGTGTATTTAAACACCCTCTGACCAGTGTTCTCTATTGTTGATACACAAGAACAAAGAAACAATCAAAGGTGATAGGACATAATTTTGTAAAAATCAAAGAAAGGCAATATAGTTACACGACCAAGAAAAAAAAATCACCGTAGGAAGTTTGCAGCTATATTTCTAAGACAGCATTTCACTTAGTGACAGGGAAAAAAAATGCTGTGAAATCTGAAATCATTCTTAAAATGTTCTTAAACTGCCTTCCTGGTATGAGTCACAGTTATTGACATATCATAAAGATAGCTTGGCTCAGAAGGTTATGCCACAGTGAATAATGCTAAATTGCTAAAACCTACCAGTCTCACCTCAAGCAATATAAGTAGAGTTATGTTATTTATCAGTTTTATATTTTTATTATCACCCTTCTTTAGAAATAGCTGATTTATGTATGCAGACGTTGATTTAAAAATTGGGACATTGAAATCCAGTAAACAGTCAAAAATTATTTTTATTTGCTAAATGACACTATATTATTAACAGTATAACATTAATATCCATGCATTAGTGAATGTCTATTATGGATAAAACCCTGGGAAAGTAGCTTTCAGTTGCATTATAAATTACTTTTTATTTATTATTTTATTTAATTTTCTCAGGAGCTCTGTGGCATAGGTGTTATCTACTCCATTTTACAGTTTCTAAAACTGAACCCTAGATCAATTAAATTCATTCACTAAATTCATCAAACAAATATTTATGAGGAGGCTACTGTTCGGTTTAAGGAACTATGGATATTTCACGTAAAAATACAGATTGCCTCACTATTCTCATAAAGTTTGCATTCTATTTGGGAGAGACAGACAATAAAAAAAATGCAAATTATGACTAAGGTAATTCTAGGTGGGGATAAGTTCTATAAAACTGAGTACGATGACTTGTTGGAGAATGAGTGGGGGTGGGATGTTAAGAGATACTTTAAATTGGGGCTCAGAGAAGATATCCCTGAGACCTGAATGACAAGGGGCCAGGCGCCCCAAGATCTGAGGAGAAAGCACTAATCACAGGAACAGCACGTTCCTGCCGAGGTTCTGAGTCAGGCAGAGACAATGTGAACAAGGGGTGTTGCAAGAGGAAGTCAGAGACATGGGAGCTAGAGACAGAGCATTGAGCCACCCCCGGCTCCCCCCCACCACTCCCATGGCCTGTGAGACCAGGATTGAGCAGTTCAGATTTTGTTCTAAGGACACTAGGGAACCATTGAAGAGTTTTTAGCAGAGCAGTGATATTAAGTGCTTACTCTTTTATAAATATCATATTGAAAGCTCTGTCAGGAAGGATTTAAGATGGAGGACCCGGAAAGGAAGCAGCATTGCCTGTTGGGTATGTTGCAGTATCCAGTAATAAATGACACTGGCCAGAACCGGGGTAGTAGTGAGGGAGATGGAAAGAAGTGGATTGATTATGCTTATATTTTGAGAAGTAGCACTTGGATTTACTGGCTAGGCTTTTGTTAAAAGTGAACTTTTGTTTTAAGTGAACAAATGATAATATCATGTACTTTAAATGATAGTATCATTTGCTAAGATGATGAAAATATCGGAGAGGCATTACTTTGGTATATGTTAAATTTGAAGTGCTTGCTATACTTCCTAGTGTTGATATCCAGTAGCAGGTAATTGAGTAGATGGATGAAGCTCAGTAGAGAGCTTACTGCAAAGATTTAGTGATTCAATCTAGAAAGTGACAGAACTCACTTTTCAGTTTATTATGTGCAGGAGATTATGTTTTACTTGTATTCTATCATTTAGTCTTTATATAGTACACTCTGAGATTTTTGTATTACTAACCCCATTTTATAGATGAAAACAAATGAGTCCCAGGCATACAGTTTTAAGTTACCCAAGGTTAAACAGATAGCAGGTGGTCATGCTGGGATTTGAACTCTTTCTGGTCTGTTTGATTCTGTTTCCCTTCATAACAGTAAACTAACTCGTTTTTTCTGCTGCCATTGTATTGACTTGTTAGTTGCAGAAATTTTGAAAATTAAACTCTATTCACATGCTAAGATGGAAAACTAGAAGGCTTGATAATGGAGGCTTGATATGGCAAGGATCTATGAATATTGTAATTTGTTGAAACAGAAAAAATGTTCCAGGCTTAAGAACACTGCAAGTTAATCGGACTCCTTTCATGCCATCTTTTAATCATTATATTTTATAATTAATTGTTAAACTTGGAATTTTTCATTAAGGTGGCACTGTTGAGAGCTCACGCAGGGGAACACTTATTGCTTGGAGCTACAAAGAGATCTATGATGTATAAAGATATTTTGCTTTTGGGTAAGTTTTTTTTTTAATTTGAGAAGAAATTATGCATATTTTATCCTTACAATAATATGCAGGATCTATTTTGTATGTACAAAGCATTTACAGACACCATCAAATGGTGCTCTCGCTCCACAGATTGGATTTAATTGTATTCTCGCTCTGCCTGATTTTTCCTTGCCTTGATTGCATATAAGTTCAGAGTGCATGAGATGATCAGATGGTCAGAGAGCATTAAGATTTAAAAATAAAAAAGGGATGTTACTCAATAAACATAATATTGAGGTATACTTAAATCATGTCAGTGATTTTTATGACTGTCTTAAGGAGGTCCAATTTTTTTTCACACTCCTTCAGTGTCTTCTTAATAATTATTTCGTATACTTTTAAGAAACATGTTTATCTCCTATGATCTCATTGCCCATGATATGCTACAAAATAATCAAGTAAAAATAATTACTGGCAATATCTGAAAATTTCTGATAGGAGTACTTGAAGAGGGAGAAGAAGGGTGACAGGTGGTGAAGGGTGGGAAGAGTCACAAAGGAAAAGCTTTTTGTCTTACGTGATTGCTCAAATCTCCCTACCTTACTTAACTCATAAAATTAGGTTTTGAAGGTTGAGATCCTACTAATACTAGCTCTCCCTCTCTCTGGCTTGTGTGAAATGATGACTGGATTATTTAATTTTTGTGATAGATGTTTTTGCCCCAAATATAAATGTATGGGACATAATACAATAGTAGTTAATATTTGTTGAGGGGGACTTATTATGTAAATGCGCTGCTCTAAGTGAGTTACATGTACATACACACTGTCTCACTTAATCCTTGAAATAACCCTAAGGGCTAAGTACTATTATTTTTAGTCCATTTGCAGGTGAAGAAATGGAGGCAGAGAAAGTTTGGCAAAGGTCACAAAGCCAGGAAAGTATAGAGCCAGGATTCTAAACCACATAATGAGACCACATGTTCTGAAATGCTATGAAACGCTTCTCTTGCATTTCTAGAAAACACCTAGAATACTGTTCTCATTATAGAATTGAATCCAATATACCTAGAAAATAAAATGTCTACTATATAGTTCTAAATTGTTTTATCCTGAATAATTAGGTAACTTTTCATAAGACAGAATGAGGCTACAAAAAAAATGATAACTAAGTAATGTGATGGATATATTAATTAGCTTGACTATGGTAACCATTTCACAATGTATATGTATATTGAAACATCACCTTGTACACCTTAAATATATACAGTTTTTTTTTTTTGTCCATCCTACCTCAATAAAGCTGGAGAAAAATGAAGGAAAGAAAAAGTGAGGCTACATTTATACATGTTGTTATCTTGAAGATTGTCTTTGCCTGCAGTGAAAGAATTCAGAATATTCTTTTTTATAATATCAGAAAATAGCAATTTCACTGTTATTTTAGATGCTATAATAAATATTCATTATATTATAGCCAGAGAACTTCTAAGTTAGAAAGATCTTTAGGGGTTAGGTGGTCTAGCTCCCTATCCAATTTCTGAACTCCCTTGAATTCAGCCAATAAAGTGGTCATTTCACCTCTATTTAAAGAAACCCAGGAAAAGGGAATATACTATCAAAGGCAACTCTTGAGAATACATGTGCTAATTTTTAAAAGCAATCTTCTTTACTTAGGCTTGTTAAAACAGTCTCAACAATTTTTATTCTTTCATATGCCTAGAGCATCAAAGGAGTGCTGTTTTTAATCCACTCTAAACAAAAAAGATTCTGTAGGGTTTGTGTTATGCTCATTAATGAATAAGACTCTAATAGAGACTGACATAGAGGAAAACTAATCATTATAGTTTGATTTTCCCCTGTCAATTATTAGCTTTGTATTAGTTTGTACTTTTGTGTTATCAACCAGTGACTGAGGCTGTTAAAATGCATGTGATCACATTATCAAAGTTATTGACCCATTAAGTATTCTTAAATGTTTCTAACATAATTAACACCACTGAGAAAGTACTATCACTATTCCTTCAAGTGTAGACCATTTTAAACGTAATTTGCAAAATTTGAAACACTGTCCGACAGTTTTGGGGGGAGATTTAATTTAATTTTTAATTTTTAAATTTAAATTTTAATTGTTTAATTTTTCTCTTCCCCTCTAGGAAACAACTATGTTATTCACCGAAACAGCTGTGAAGTTGAGATTAGCCGTGTGGCCAATCGGGTTCTAGATGAGCTGGTTCGACCCTTTCAGGAAATCCAGATTGATGACAATGAGTATGCTTGTTTGAAGGCAATTGTATTTTTTGACCCAGGTCAGTTTTCAAAATTCCATTAAAGAATGAATATAATTAAAATTAAATTACTTTTTAATGTGGGAATATTTGTTTCCACACTCTAATTAGATGAAATCTTCAGATTTCCCTTTTTATTCCTGCATTAGATGCAAAAGGGCTAAGCGATCCAGTAAAAATTAAGAACATGCGGTTCCAAGTGCAGATCAGCTTGGAGGACTACATCAATGACAGGCAGTACGACTCCCGGGGGAGGTTTGGAGAGTTACTTCTGCTTTTGCCCACACTACAGAGCATCACTTGGCAAATGATTGAGCAAATACAGTTTGTTAAACTTTTTGGGATGGTTAAAATTGACAACCTACTTCAGGAGATGTTACTGGGTGGTGAGTACATGTAAGAATTTCTATTTTATTGATTAGCCTCACACCATGTACTTTAGAACAAGTTTGACCTATTCATTTTTTTGGCCATATTTATCAACTTTTGAAGTTGTTTTGTGTTCCTGCCCTTTTTTTGCCCTTCTGCCATGACAAAATGAACTCAATTTCTTTCATTTAAAATGTATGCAAAACCCATTGGAGGGAGATAAAAATGCTTAAATCAATTAAAATCCATTCCTTTTTTTTTTTTTTGTCTACATGATGCTTCTTGTATTTATTTTAATTATGTGACTCTAGTACAGCAACACTTGCATAGTGATTGCCAATATCTGAAGCATGTTATAGACATAATTTCATTTAGTCCTCCAGCATTTTTAAATTGTCTTCAATTTTATGGATTAAAAAATAATAATAATAAAATAAAATCTCCATTCTCTTTAGCCTCCACCATCTTTCCTCCTCATAGGCCCTCTGATTTCAATTTTCAGAACATACCAAATATAGTGAATAGAAATATATTTTCTGTTTTTAGGACTTCTTGAAGTATATTATGTATTTTCATGCCCTGACTGCTTTAAGACCTCAGGGATACTGGAATTGCAACATAACCTAAAAATATATATAGTGCACAGCTTAAAAATGAACATTGTGCTCCTTCCTGAAATAATTAATTGACACAAAACAGTAGAAGAGAAAAATGAGATTTCATTGCTGCAATTTATGTCAGGAATGAGTTAAGAAATCATTTATTTTGTGCTCTGATCTAGATTAAATTTCCTTGTAAAATAACCATATTTATTTTTAGTTTTCTGGTTCATAATGTGTTCCTAATGATATCTTTCTGAGATAAAAGTTGTTCATGCTCTTAGGGTAATCCCAAATACCATAAACTTGCGGTAAGTGATTCTTGGAATTGCCTTAACAACAGGCAGCAAACCTAATGATTCCAGGAAATGGCACACAAGGTCCATTATTAATATACAACATAATATGATACAGCATTAATCTAGCCAATGTACAGTGAGGGCTGACATTCTCCTTAATATGGCAGTGGCTCTATCAATTTATTTTTGAATTCCCAAGAAGCACTTTGCAAAAATAGCAATATTTAAGCTGTCAATCCAAACATTTTTTTTCCAATGTAAACTTGCCATCTCTGATTAAATATCACTAACACAATCATGTTTTTCTCTTCTGTAGGTGCTTCCAATGATGGTAGTCATTTCCATCACCCAATGCACCCGCATTTGTCTCAAGATCCATTAACTGGACAAACTATACTTTTAGGTCCTATGTCAACATTGGTTCATACAGACCAGATTTGTAAGTGTCTGGGCTACTTTTCCACTGTAATAGTTCTTAATGACCTGAGAAAAAGTAGAAATTGGGGGAGGAATTTATTAGTACCTGGAAATTGCAAAAATTGGGTAGAATTTCTTCTCCAAGACACAACTGTGGGAGACTGTGATAATTTGGCTAGTCATTTTTTCTCCCTAGGAATAAACTTGCTTTCTATGATGAATATGTGAGAACTTAAATCTTTCTGCATCATAGGTGTGGGGAACAAAAAGAATGTACGGGTAGCCCTAGCTTTGCATGGTAGTGTGGGACTGAGACCATAAAAATGGCAATGAAAACTGAAACCATGGAAAGGGATCTCAACAATCAATAGGAAAATTATTTCCTGCCTGTGACCTTTGAAAAATGTTTGTCAAAACATTAACAACTCTCTTAACCCTAGATTGCAAATACATAGAGAAATTTTAAAAAAATAATAATCCTAGTTGTTTTTTTTTTAGTGGACTATAATTTAAAAACATCACATTTAGCACACTGCAATTTAAAACATTAGGAACATTGAGAAATAAGGCGTTTTATTTCTTTGTGAAAAAAGTGTGAAAAGCAGTTTGAATAGTGTTTGCCTCCTTCTTCTATAACTTCCAATAGGAAATGAGCATCTTTTCCATGCCTTGATGAGTTTCACTTCTTTAGAAGTTTGGATCAACTTCCAACATTTTATTTTTGGCACTTTGAATGCCCTAAAATATCCCTGAGAATTCATTTAATGTCAAGTTTTTTTCTGGTTTCCCATCTTTTGGGATAAATTCTTCCTCTTAGTCACATCAAGCTTCCTTATTTGTGTGGACATGTTTTCCTTCTCTACTTCCTTGGCTGCATATTTAGAAACTCAAACAGCAGCAGCATCAACATTGCCATGGTCAGCTACTTCTTCTATGACTCTATTGGTGTTCTATTTGAATTATCACTTTTTGTTTCTTTTCTGCACTTTAATCTCGGTTGATCAATTCTCGTTCAATTATCCATTTCTGTAAAATGTCATGCAGATTTATCACTAGAACACAAGGAGCAAACTCAACTATTATATGCTATTTGTTGCCCATCCATGAGTGAACTAAATAAAAGATGTTCAATGACCAACCACAGACAGACTAAAATTTGTGATGTGATCAGTCACTCATCACAAAGTACACTTATTTTTTAAGTAATTGTTTGTAGGCTGGAGAGTTGGCAGTGAAGTTTGTATTTATGCAATTACTTAATTGTGAGTTACCATGGCAACTGGAATTGGAACTGTCTTGTTGCCAAACTGGTGTCATTTAACTAAGCCATGGTAACTGGAATTCGTAAATATCAGAGTCGTGCAAAGTGAGGGCTGTTTATGAAAACTCTTTGGAACTCAAATCACTATGTAAATACTTGGGGTTGTTAGTAGCTGAATTAATCTGATATTATTGCAGCCTTAATAATGCAAATTCTATTTTTCTAAGCTACTCCGGTGATAAAAATCTCTAATTCTTTGACAAAATATTTAGAATTAATTAATTGCTTCTGAATTTTTACTAATTAATCCCAGGTTTACCCTTATTCTATTGACTCTGAACACCAAACCAGCCAACTCACTGAGATGCCTTGAGTTATGGTGATATATTTATTATGCACATCTTTCTTGCCTACTGAATTTATAATAGTCTTGAGTAACTAGTTACAATGTTGTTTTATCCAAATATTCAATGCAATGCAGCTACAATTTAGTGAGTACCCCTGACTACTAGGTAGTAGTGGGGAGAGTAGAGGCTGCAGAAATGTATGTTACCATGCTGTCCTTTAGACACTGCACTGGTAGACCTTTGTGTAGATAGTGTCAGAAACACAGAATCCTTGGAGTATATGAGAGAGGCAGAAATGAAATTGTTAGGAAAAAATACAAATCGTGGAAATAACATGGCATATCAAATTTGTGGGTCACAAACTGAAACACATTATTTGGGACCATCCTTGCAGAGTAGATGTTACCATTTTTATTAAATAGATAGTCAAGGGCAGAGAGAGGGGCAAGCTCAGTACCATACTAGAGGGTCTGTGGAGTGTGTCTTTTAAAGATCAGTTATTCATAAACTCAGAAAATAAAACACATTAACAACACATTAAGCATTCTAGGAATCAACTGGCAAGAGAGTTTGACAATTCTGCTGGCGGTTGAATTCTTTACTTTTTAAAGGGTAGTGTTCTAGTAATTTAAAGACATATTTACTGCCCCTAATCTTATAAGAGTTACATCATCACACTTTTCATTTTTATTCTTCCTCTTTCAATATAATATGTATGAGAATCATTTGGTAAGAAAAACTTGGCTTTGCTGTGCTCATTTGGAATAGTTTACATGTCATGGAAAGCAAGATTAAACACAAACAATAAAAACCTTAAATTCATGCATATTTTCTTGGTCATTTAGAGAGGGCCACTGCAGTTTAGGATCCATTCTAAAATCCAGAAATAACTTTAAAGGAAGATTTGGATATTGTTTTGTAAAGTAAACTGCATTTCCAAATGTTGTTTTTAAGCAATTGTTAATTCATACTTAACAATAATATGAAGTTAATGTATTAAAGAACACTAAGCAAAAGGAGATTGCTCTTTTATATAAAATTTTAAAAACTGTTCAGAAAGAAACCTATAAAGTTAACATTGTATTAGTCTGATCATCAAACATTTCCTATTAATTCTGTCAGATATGTAGGATAATACAGTAAAATTGTAAGGACTAAAATATTTAAAGTTTTTTAGAATTACAGGGTAACTCCTAGATTATTTTATAATGTGGTGAAATTTTACAATAGGAATAAATACTATTCTAGACAATGAAGTATTCAAACTATAACTTTTCTGTATCTGATTTAATTTTTTATATTCAATTACTTTCTATTCAATTACTCAGGTTTGCTCTTTGTATCAAAAGGGAAGGGACAGGCAAGCTCAATTGTAATAGAATAATTTTTGAAGCAAGAAAGCCAGTATTTTCAGATGTTTTTGACTACAACTTATATTTCAAACATTTATAAAGTATCATGCCCCTAATTTTTTATGTCATCTAATACATCTGAATTAGTGGAATCCAAACCAGGTGTATTTTTATTTTGTGTGAGTTTTGATTGCAAAAATGATAAATATTTTCTAATATTTGAAAAACCTGGCATTCTGTTAATTCTTTTCACTAATTTTTTTTCTGCTGGCTTTGTTAGAGAATCAAATGCTTCTAAATGCTATTAAGAAAGGCAGAAGAAAACATGTTAAAGTGACTCTGAAGATTTTTTTTAGTGTGACCTATTCCTATTTAATTGCTATTTGGGAAGGTAGGGTGAGGGTGCTGTCTGATAGCATGTCAATGGGCTAATATTGCAACCTACAAATTGCTACTTTATATGAAATCTTTAAAAACTGTTTTGAAAACACACTAATGTACATTAAAGTTATATAGGATTTAATAGGGTGAGGCAGGTTGATTGCCATCATCACATACAATTCTCTGATTCTTTTTCAGCAACTCCTGAAACCCCACTCCCTTCCCCACCGCAAGGCTCTGGACAAGAACACTACAAAATAGCCGCAAACCAAGCTTCGGTCATTTCTCACCAGCCTCTCTCCAAACAAAAGCCATTGTGAAAATATGTTTACTTTTGAACGGCACTGCATAAATGTGAAAAGCTGTTGGTCTCGAAGTATCTCAGGATAGTACTTTTGGCAAACTCTTAGCCAAGGCTTCATCATGGTGCTGTTATTAGATGGTATCCTGTTTTATTGTTTATATGTTCATTTTGTTTGTTGTTGCTACTGTGTAAAACTTTCACATCAACTATGTCTTTTTTGAATATGTTTGTAGAGTGTATCGTTTCCAACTGCCCCTGCATCGCACCTCAACCAGCTGAATCTCATGTACTACTGTCATTTGTTTTCTTAATATTAATTTAAAAGTGTAAATAATTGTTTTATTGTGATGTGGTGCAGAACACATCTTTTGTTCTTTTTTGACTGAGAATAGTAGATGAGAAATCCCAGGTTAATATAAAATGAACTAAGTTTTCTATAAATTATAAACTTGCAGATTAGGAAAAATAAAGCAGCTGCTGTAGAATAGGATGCATTTCTTCAAAGAAGAATCATTTATGGGCATTCTGTGGCGAAGTAGCATCTCTTTGGTTCATTGTTAAATATTCCTATCTTAAGTTTAGAAAATTATAAAAAGCCATGCCAAGGATGACTGGATAGTCTTTGAAATCTGTTTTTGAGGATGCATGTTAAGATAAAACATGTTAGGATACAGGCTAAACTGTAACAAAGAAACCCCTAAAACAGTGGCTCAGCCAAGAGAGACATTTCTTTCTTTCTCCTGAAACAATCTAGAAATGGTCATCCATGGATTAGAAATGAGCACATCTAGTACCCAGGGAAGCCAGGAGAGTCATCTTTCGGTAGAAAGCCTGTGTCAGCTAAAGCCATTCTGCTCTGAGAGAGCCAATCCTTGGGACAAATTAGCCATCTACCACACATGTGCCTTATTTAGTCCTCACAGCAACCCTGAATGAGAGGTATTATTATCTCTCTTTTATAAATAAAGAAACCTTTAGCCTAAGGGTTTAAGGAATATCACCAGAGTTCATAAACCGAAACAGTAAGAGAAGCCACATTCAAACCCAGGTCTGGTTGACTGTAATGAGAATAAATCTTCGGTATGAAATGAAAAATGTGAGCTTCTTCCAGTGTGACTTTTCAATATATGCGGCTGAGTGATGATTGAATACGTTGCCTGTAATATATATTCACACGTAAACAATGAGTGCAAAATTGTTGCAGCTTAAATAACACTTTTGTACTTTTAACAGACATCTTCCCCTAAAAACATAAAATAAATAAATAAAAATGAATCAGATAGATTTTGATGAAAACAGAAAACAAATTCAAATAAATAACTTAGCAGATTTTCAAAAATCCAGCAGCCCAGGGATGTACCAAATATCTAATTCTAGACTGAGGAATTCATTGGAGCCCTAAACTATTTGCTATCATTTAAAGCTGGAACTTATTTTAAAGCAGATAGTGATGGGATACCTCATAAAGCAATGACTCCTCTTTGGCTGAGGAGAAGGAAAACTGGTTGAGTAATTATCAATAATATTTTTTAAAAGTATCCAAAGCTGTGAAAGATTGAATTAAAATATGTTTTCAGAACTTTTCAAAATTGCTAAGATTATGATTTCATAACTCCCACTTACCCTACAAGTAAAAAGGTTTTGTTAATGTTGATTAACTTATTGGCTCTTAAAGTTATATTGAACTCTTGGAGTAGAAAAATTATTACTTAAAAACCATCATGATTGAATAGAATCAATAAAATTCCTTCAAGAGCTAGTACCCTTGTGAAACTGTAAAATGTATTGTTGTGTTCAGGGGAGTTTTTTAACTCTTATTTTTTGAAAATTTGCTGTAGTGTCTATTTCATGAATAAGAATGTTTTTGATTTTTATAAATACAAATATCTTTTGTAGGTTTTTGTTTACTTTCTTGGGGTTTTTTTCTTAGAAGATATTAAAAAAATACTCTCTTAGTCTATTTGGGCTGCTATAACAAAATACCTTAAACTTGACAGCTTTAAACAGAAATTTATTTCTTACAATTCTCAAGGCTGGGAAGTCCAATATCAAGATGTCAGCAGATTTGTTTTCTGGTCCATAGTTGGTGCCTTCTTGCTGTGTCCTGAAATGTGGAAGGGGCAATGCAGCTTTCTGGGACTTCTCATGACTTAGTTACCTCCAGTACAGTAGCCCTGGGGCCCAGGTTTCAACATATAAATTTGGGGGGACCCAAACATTCAAACCATAGCAAATGCCTTAAAAATGTAAAACATAAAATTCATTTTTGTTAACCCTCCAACTCATCCACATATATTTACTAAACAGCTTTGTCTTAGAAATTATTCCTAATGATTTTGTTTTAATAACTATGGTCAGGGAATTTGTAATATAATAGTTTTATATACTGAACTGCCAAAAATGCTGAATAAAGAGGAACTGATGTTTTCAGCATATTTTCAAAATATTGAGAAGAAAAAGTTAATCGCTTTTATAGAGTATACACCTTTTGTCAGGTAATAGGAATGAATAATTTATTGTGAAATAACAATTCATTTTATAAATGTAAAATTATTTTTATAAATTTCATTGTTGAAAATCAAAAATTAGTAGATTTTTTTAAATGTTAAATTATAGTGAGATTAAAATATGTCTAAACTGTGATGCCATGTTGTTTCACTGAACTCTCTAAATAAAAACTGAGGAAAAAAATAACAAATGGAGTGCTTTACTAGTGTTGTAAAATGATTTCATAATTTTAGAGATACTGATAATATCTTTTATATGGTCATTTAATTAAATTTATGTAGTACCTATCAATGCTTGCCTTTAGAGGCCAGAGCAAAATTAATTAGCACATCTCCAAATAATCATAGAATCGGACACTGACCAAAGGGAGAATCCTCACATTTATGCTTTAATTACATAGTTTTTCTTGCTTTTTAGTGTTGTCACTATAACTTAAATACATCCCCTAAGCTGGTTTAAACATTGTACAAATATCCTTTGGTATATAAATTTGTAACCTAGATGTTTCAATTGCTGGTATCCTCTGTTCCTATTTCAAGCTCCTATGTAAAATTTCTTAAGCTATAAGGCACAGTAAATCTTATTTTTATGGAATTCTATGAATATGATTTATTTTGTGTTTACTCTTAATCAAGGTAATATGTGTATATCACTTAAAAAAAGAAATTACACTTCAGGTTTATAATGAAAAACAGTAGCTCTCCTTCCTGCTACTCCCTCTGCCCCAAGTTCTGCTTTGCAGCAATGACATCCAAATCCTGCAGCTACTTTCTCCGTAGTTTGAAAACATCTTTAAATCATACTTTATCTTTCACTTTAGGTTTTTTTTTTTTTTTAGTCTTAGACATTATCTGTTGTCTTCCTACTATGAAAGAAGCACATTTTTTAGCACACTGATGTCTATACAGGTAACTAACACCACATTTTCCCAATTCCTTAATGAGTCAATATTTTTATTTATATTAGTAGTGACCATTTAAGTAATTTCAAATCATCTTTTAAAAATATAAAATAGGCAATTTTTATATCTCAGTGGAAAGTGGAAGAGATATACCCTAATTTTATAGAGAAAGTGAGAAGAGGAAGTCCTTGCCTGAAACACAGGAATTTCTCCTTAGAATCTTAGAATTAAAAAATCACATACGAACTGTATTGGTAATGGTTTATTGTAACACTGTACTTGACTGCAATTAGACATCAGTTTCACCTTGGCTGATGGTTTCTTTTTTCTTTTCTTTTTCTTCTTTCTTTCTTTCTTTCTTTCTTTCTTTCTTTCTTTCTTTCTTTCTTTCTTTCTTTCTTTCTTTCTTTCTTTCTTTTTTGAGACAGGGTCTCTCTCTGTCAGTCTGGATAGACTATAGTGGTGCCATTGTAGCTTACTGCAACCTCAAACTTTTGGGCTCAAGCAATCCTCCTGCCTCAGCCTCCTGAGTAGCTGGGATTACAGGTGTGTGTCAAGATTCCCAGCTAGTTTTTCTATTTTTTAACAGAGACAGGGTATTGCTCTTGGTCAGGCTCGTCTCAAACTCCAGGCCTTAAGCGATCCTCCACCTTGGCCTCCCTGAGTGCTAGGATTACAGGTGGGAGCCCACCACGCCCATTGAGCTGATGGTTTGTCTTAATAAATTTTCCTTCCTTCTTCCAAAATTTCACTGAACCTAGAGAAAGATTTTTTTAAAATAAGTAAAATCTATGCATGTACTAAAACATAAATTTTTAAATTTTTTTTCTTCAAAATATAGGGCAGATAACATCAGAGTGAGGAAAACACAAGACAAGCCTATGATTAAATATAGGCAAATTGTGCTGCTGGAAAAGTAATATCAAAATCCCTGAAGTAGGGCCCTCAAAACTTCAATATTGTAAACAAGAGTCTAAAAGCCTGGGTATAGCAGGGGAGAGTTAACGGTCAAAACAAAGACAAGGATACAGGGGGCGGGGGGAGGGGGTGACCCAATATAGAGGGCTGATAGTGAGATTCACTTGGTTTTCCTTGAGGAAGACAGGGTAAGTGAAGGGGAGGGGCAGGGCCAAACAATTTGTAAATTAGGAGAGTTGCATTCAGTTACAGAAGAGACAGAGAGCCTCTAACTTCAGAGCACAGTAGTAATCATGTGAAGAAGAGACCCAAGCCAAAGTGAACTTCCTTTCTGCAGTTTGTCCTCCCCTGGAGAGTCTTCCTTATTGGCCACAGATAATTGGAATTGTGAAATGATGGTGGGCATATCTAAGTAGAAGGCAGTACCTTAGGGGGAAATGATGCTGTTGGACAGGATGAATGACAACAGTCATTGTACCAACCTACCCAGATAATGGTAACTGCAAATAAATGCTGAAAATAATAAGTAAACTTTCCTGTCTTGATCACCTTTCAAAGTCAGCTAGCACCATATTTTTTATAGTCCATTTGATCCTTTATTTGGAAAAGTAGTTCTTTAGAAAGTACAAAGTTTGCTGTACAAGACAAAAAACAGTAGGCACTCAGGGTAGCTTGGGTCATGTGGGAGGGAAGAAGAAAGAAGAAATTGTATACTAAAACAAATTTTACACAGGGTATAAATAATAGGTGCAACTATGTATACTAATTTCTTCTCAATGTTTCATAAGAAACTATAATTTAAAAATAATTTCTAGGTAATCATTAATGGAGCAAAAATATAAAATTCTATAAAAGAAGAATAGGAAAAATTGAGCAGTCCAGTAAAAAAGTCATTTTTAATAAAAAGATCAAGAAAGCAAAATTAAAAAATTAATTATTATATGGGTGATATAAGACTCATTTTGGAAATGCCACTAAGTTTTACAGGCCAAAAAAAAAAAATTCACCTAGTACAATATAGTATTTTTAGATCAGATCAGAATACAAAATTCATCTATGTTTTGTTACAGTACATGTTGTTTCCTAAAGTGATCCAATAAGAGAAATAGGGATCTGATTGCATGTTTCTGCGTGTGATATCGAGTTTTATCAGTGCCATTTATTGATGAGACTGTCCCTTCTTCCCAATGTGTGTTCCCAGAGCCTTTGTTGAAAATCAGTTAGCTGTAAATGCATGGATTTATTTCTGGGTTCTCTATTCTGTTTCATTGGTCTATGAGAACACAACATTTAAATCTTAGGGACAAAGTCAAAAGAATACACATAAGAACATTCATAACTTTGAAAGTTTTAAACAAGAATCAAAATAAATTTGTTGGAATGAGCAGTCTTTTAAAAGTTTGGTTATTCTAGTGGGCATGTAGTGTTACATCATTGGGGCTTTTATTTAATTCCCCTGATGACTAATAATGCTGACTGTTGAATAATGTTAAATGTTTTCGTGAGCTGATTGACTATCAGTAAGTCTATTTTGTCAAGTTTTTACTTAAATGCTTTACCCAGTTTCAAAATTGGAACATTTGTCTTCTTGTTACTGACTTGTATGAATTTTTTACATAGTCTTGTCCTTTGTCAGATAAGTGAATTAAAAATATTTCCTTCCATTATATGCAGAAGATAAAAATGTTGATCTCATAGAGGTAAAGAGTAGAACAGAGATTACTAGAGGCTGAGAGGATAGGGAGAAGAGGGGACAGATTGCGGACAGATGAAGGAATAATTTCTAGTGTTTTACAGCACTGAGGGAGACTATAGTTAA